AGCTCAGGTGGGCAGGAGAGGGGTCAGGACCAAAAGCAGAGCTCCTTTTTGCCATTTTTGGCCGCTGGCAGCCGCTTAAGTGGCCAATTGTTTGGCGTTTATTGCCACCGTTCTGGCAGCGTCGATGATGCCACATTATGCATGGCTGGCCATAAATTTCATGGCCCTGTTCGCGAAAAGCGTTTATTCGCGTTATTTGCAAATTGACAGGAACAAGGACATCTAATTACTCCCTGCCGAGCACTTGAGTCCGCATCAGTTCATCCCCACCGAGCACTTCATTTAAGCCGGGCTGCCAATTTGCGCTGACAAAAATGCCACGGAGCTAGACAATTTTTTTCAATTTCGCGTACGTTTCACCCCAGGGAAAGAATCTCTTCAGGGAGAAAACCGAGTTGAGTCAGACTTACGTGCAGTGCATACAAATGAGCGGAGGGCGAATAAATTGTTCTGGTTTACTTGAATTGGGGAGTTTTGGGGCGGGATTAACTGATAATAGATATATAAATCAGTTTGCAGATGGGCCAAACTAACCCTCAAGTAGTTTGGCATCAGGAATATGTTATTGAAGACTTGAAAGACTAAATTAATAAATAAGTAGTGAAACTACTTTTCCTGAGACATGCTTTGAAGATCTGGATTAATAATATATAAATAATATATAAGTTAAGTTTATACAGACACATTTAGTAAGCTATCTTGTGATTTCCGATATCATTAATATCTGAAAATAAAATACGAAATCTGGAACATCCCCAGCATATCATTCCGACACATTTAAATAGACAGGCGACATGAGTAATTTGGCAGCGGCATTGGGGGGAAAAACGAGAAATGTGGGCGTAATAAGTGAGTAGAATAGCGACTCTTTCCAATAATCCACAGGACTCTCATGTAACCCCGCCCACCGACGGATACACGTGCCGCATCTACAGATGCTGATTGTGTTCCTTTTGATTAAAAATTCATGTCGTATCACGAAAGTTGTGCCGGAACTAAGCATACTGGAATTTCAGGGGAATTGTGTGCCCAAGTGTGTGCCGCACGGAATTAGCCAAACAGCGAGTTCAGATTCAAACAATTATCCCTGACTCTGGACAAATGTTGCGTGCAAATAATCCCAAAGCCCGAAGCCAAAAATCGAGAAGTGGCAAAAAGGTCAAGTGTAAAGACAAACACAAATACTCGCTGAATGGGGAGGGGAAATCACCGGGAAAATCGCTCTATTTGTCTGGCATAATTGCCAAAGGCTGAGATGAAAAGAGTGCCAAAGTAAATATTGAAATATTAGCAGGAGATGGCAGAGAGATACCAAAAAAAGGACCTTTATTGACCCAAGCCAAAGGTATGCCAAAGCCAATTTCCACTCATTGCCCAAGGAATGAAAAGCTTTTGTACGAGGTGTTTACGCTGGAATTTCCCCTCTTTTCCATACCCATCCTCGCGATAAAAGTTACGTCCATCAAGGATAATCTGCAATTTTCTTGCATAAATCGCTTAAAGAGCAATTGGCAAGTTTTCCCCAACAAATCGCTGCCAGCAACTATAAAAACTTTCAACTGAAGCCGGAATTGAATATGAATCCTGATCATCGTCGCTGTCAAAGGGAAAAAGTAAAGAAGTGAAAAACTGGGGAGTGCTGCATCAGCTGCTGGCACAGTGATTGAAGCCGAAATTCGGCATTTTCGGTTGTCCTTTTGGGCGCTCTCCTTTCGCCTGGCTTTTATAAGCAGAAATTGCTCAATTGAAAGCGAAAACGGCAGCAGCCAGCGAAGGAACTCTCAATGAAAAAACCGAAAAACGGAAAAGTTTTCTCTTCGGAAATAGAAAAGTTTTTTTTCCTCAAAGCTTGTGTGTGTGCGTGTGTATGAATTGGAGAAGAGCTCGTGAGGGAAATTTTTGCCTCACGAAATAAAAATAATGATTTTACACCTAAATATTATCCGATTGTGGAGTGCTGATCAATAGCAAAATAAAGAACTAGAAGCAAGAATTTTTATGACTTTTTATCACAAGAGGCATGAGAAATGAGTTTCTTTTGTTTCGATTAGCTAAAAGGATTGGATTAGTCTTAACTTTGATTAACTATAAAGCGAATAATTTCTCATTTAAATAGTTAATGTGTATATCTTTCAATCTTTCATGTCAATAAATCGACTTTGGCTTGGAAAATAAATTCATGTGTATGGATAAACCAAAAACTTTGGACAAGGCTGGGATTAATAGATTTGTTTTTGTTCAAGGCTCGATATTTTCGATTGTTGTTTTCCCAGGATATGCTTGCATGCAACCAAATCTGCTTCATTTTATATTTTAAGCAATTCCGGCACGCGCTCAGCTCCAATGAGGAGTATACGTGTGTCCTTGGCAGCGGGGAAGCAACAATTGAAGTATATGAAAACGTGCTCGGATCCAAAATGAAAAATTGGCAGCTACAAAAAACTGAATAAATTTAACTTTCCCCCGCACCACGGAAAAATCAATAAGGATGTTTTGCAATCATGGCGAACGTTCGACGTAAATATTAAATGTGTTTGTCTGTCGAAGAGGAGGAACTTGCAATATTGCAATAAATAATTGCAAGACGGGCCAAAATTAAATGACTTTCGAGTTAATTGAGGGGAAGGCGGATGCCGAGAGGGGGGCGGAAGGAGCAGGTGGCAGCTACCAAACGAGATACGACTCGGGCCAGAAGAGGCAACAATAACAGTTGCCAACAGCTCGGCCGAGCGGAAACGGAAATGAGTAGCGAGTAACCGGGAGGCAAGACGAAAAAGAAAGCGGAAACGGCGGAGAAGCGAAGCAACAGTTCAACTGTAAAACATTAAATGAAAATGAGGCCCAGACCAGGAGCACTCTGGCGGAGTGGAGTGGGTGGGTGGTTGGGGGGGTGGTACAAGGACAGGCACCCGCAACAAGGACGCAACACACATTACTTGTGTGTGGCTGTGGGAAAACAACGGCCAAGAACGAACAAGCCCAGTTAGTAAGCAAAACATGTTGGCTTGTGTCAAGTCAGAGTCGTAGCTGGGAAAAAATAAAAGGGAAACTGGATGCGAAAAGGAAAACCCAACGCTTCAAGGCCGAGGGAGACCTGAGGGTGGGAGGAAAACCAGGAAAACCGAACCAGGAAAAACTGGAGAGACCGCAGCTGCTAAGCCAACTATTGCCAAGGGGAAACACTTCAAAGAGTGCCTGTCAGAGTGGGTGACTGTTCCGCAACCCGTCCTGAGCCAGCAAAACTAACCGAATTAAAAACCAAAGCCTGGGAAAAGTGAAGCCAAGCCAAGTGTAAAACAATTACTATATGTTGTTTGGCGAAGAATAAGACTGCAAGCCAATTTAATAAAAGTTAACCCAATCTCAGGTTCACACAATCAATACTATTCAAATCACTTTCATCAAGCCCTAAATAAATTGAATTCCAGATTGATAGAGAGTTAAATTTCAGCAGTTTGAAATCACGTTTCCTAAAAGGAAAGTTTTGGATTACACTAACAACAAAAGAATAAGAGCCAGAAAAGTTAAACTTTAAATTAAACCTGTCTCTTTGGGTTGCATATTATTTACCATTTAATTGCTGGAAGCATTTCGGAGCTTTTAAGTTTGCCAACCATTTTATCCCAGTTGTTGTTACACAACAATCCAAAACCAAGCCGAATCAATTGCGTTGGTAGCAACAGAAGGAGCAGCCAAAGGCGATGTCGAAGCCAACTTTTGGCCGGCTTTCTGCCAGCATGATGTTCATTTGCGGTGCACCGCATGTGGCAAAATCCGGCCTGGACTTTCCCGATCCCTGCTTTCTGGCGGAAAGAATCAGAGCAATCAATGGCCAAAGGCGCTGTGACAATGAGTTCGAAGTGCTGCCTTGTTTTTTGGCCCAAGGCAGGGGAACCATCGGCACACAGTGGGATCCCAAGGAGCACGTGGTCAGGATGGTGACGTGGAGCGTGTTGCTCGACGGAAGCACCACAGGAATTTAAGTGCTTCCGCTTTCGGCAGGCGGCATACGAAATCAATAATCGGAATAATAAGCTGCAAGGGGGTGTAAGGGGGGGAGCATGTGGAGAGGTGTGTGTGTGGGTGACAGGTCAAGGAAGCGGAGGAAACCGAGCGAACGAGGAATGTTGGCAGCCTGTCAATATCCAGATACTTATCCCGAGTTGCCCCCGTTTCCACCGGATGCTCCCACAAATTTAACACACAATTTCAGCTGGAAAACGGCGAGAGAAAAATATTTTTGGCAAGGAAATCAATAAATTCATATGTGCCACTTGAGTGGCAGCACAAAAAATTAACCGAAACTTCTTTCGTGTTGGCGTTAAACAAAACTGAGATGAAAATGAAATGCTTTCAACTTGGCTTTAGTCGTACACTTTTCCTAAGCCCCAAATTGTACCACACAAAACATACATGCACTTAGCAAAAAATAGTTTAACTGCATGTATAAATATATCATTTCAGAAAAAATCAAAGCCATTAAAAAAAGTTTAAAAAAAGTCGCCAAAGCATATAGTATATAAATGAATTGATTGAAATAAATCAACTCAAGATGTATTCGTTTTTTACGATTTCAGCTTTACGATTTTAAATAATCAAGAAAGAAAGACAGAAATTATAATACCATTTACAAGTGTATAACAAATCCGGTTAACTGTATCAGAAATGAGCCAACTAAATCGTTTTTCTATAGAACGAAGCTCATTTTATAGTCTAAAACATTTTTGCTATAGCTACATGGGTAAATAAACTTTAATTTTGTTAGTTTCAACAGTCTGAACATTAAAGTGTTTGATATGTTTATTTGTTTCATTATCAACTTGACAATCAAATGCTTCCATCTGGCTTAATAAGCGTACAAATATTTGTACTTGTTTTCTGACCGTAGCAGGGGGTTTTTGAAACTGAGCTTTTTAATAGATTTCAGCTGAACCTGACCTTTTTAACCGGCCGGCAATAGATAAGGCTATATAAATCTCAGAATTCGCTGAGACTTTTAGTCAAAGTTGTCACTTGGAAGCAAGATGCGTGGAGCTATAGCAGTATTTTTGTTCGTCTCCGTTTTCCTGGTTTCGGAAAACGAAGCAGCTGTTGCAGTTGGATTCTTCGAGGATCCTGCCCATCCTGGAAAGTGCGTCCTTGAGGGTCTTATTTTAGACGCTGGTCAAACTGCCCGCAACCCAAACAAGTGTGAGCGAATTGTGTGCTCAGCAAATAGCATGGCACAGATCCAATCGTGAGTTTAAGCCTTTCAAATTCTTTATATAGCAAATGGACATAATTTATTTAAATTTATTTAGATGCGGAGTTTATGGACTTGCTCCAGGCCAGCAATTTGGAGAATACTTGACTCCAAACGGTGATTATCCCGCGTGCTGTGAACGTAAAGTTATAAGCGTGTAACAACGAAATCGAAATATTCAATATTTTAAGACAAATAAATGTAAATCTAAAATCTAGAAGGTAAATATAAGTGAAGAAATTTATTAACGAGTTTAAAGAAGTATAACATTTCAAGCTGGGACGAATTAAATTTAGATGAACAGAATTTAACCACAATCATTTAGAAGTATACCATTTTGAAATCGGATGTCTGTAACAAAAGTTATGGTCTTTGATATGCAGGTTTTCGTCCACTTTTCTGCAAAAACAATTTCCGAAAATTTGTTTCATTATCAACTTGACAATTAAATGCTTCCATCTGGCGTAATCAGCGTACAAATATGTGTATTTGTTTTCTGACCCTAGCAGTCGATTTTTCCGAAACGGAGCTTTCTAATAGATTTCAGCTGAACCTGACCTTTTTGACCGGATGGCAATAGATAAGGCTTTATAGGCCTCAGAATCCGCTGAGACATTTAGTCAAAGTTGTCATTTAGAAGCACTAAGATGCGTGGAGCTATTGCAGTAATTTTGGTCGTCGCCGTTCTCCTGATTTCGGAAAACGAAGCATATCTTGCATTTCGGATCTTCAGGGATCCGGCCGATCTTAAAAAGTGCGTCCTTAATGGTCTTATTTCAGACGGTGGTCAAACTGCCCGCAACCCAAACAAGTATGAGCGAATTGAGTGCATATATAATGACATAGGACGGTTCCAATCGTGAGTTTAAGCCTTACCAATTCTTAAATAGCAAATGGATATAATTTATTTAAATTTATTTTAGATGCGAAGTTTATAAGCTTGCTCCAGGCGAAACATTCGAAGATTATCCCGCGTGCTGATTATCCCGCGTGCTGTTAACGTAAAGTTATAAGTGTGCAATAACGAAATCGAAGTATTCAAATTTTAACAGAAATAAATGTAAATCTAAAATGTAGATGGAAAATAGAAGAAAGGAATTTGTACAATTTATTTTTGATTTGAATGCCAATTGATTGGAAATTTAATAACGAGTTTAAAGAAGTATAACAGTTCAAGCTTGGACGAATAAGATTTAGATTAAGAGGATTAAAAGACAATCATTTATAGGTATGCCACTTTGAAATCGGATGTCTGTAAGAAAAGTTATGGGCTTAGAAGTGCAGGTTTTAGGCAACTTTTCTGTAAAGCCATTTTTCGATAATTTGGAAAGGGGTAACATCATTAAAATGACGGAAAATCGACCCCAAAATACAAATCAAGTTGAGTACACAGATTTTTAGAGAATTAAACCACAATCATTTAGAGGTATGCCACTTTGAAATCGGATGTCTGTAAGAAAAGTTATGGGCTTAGAAGTGCAGGTTTTGGACCACTTTTCTGCAAAGCCGTTTTTCGAAAATTTGGAAAGGGGTAACATCATTAAAATGACGGAAAATCGACCCCAAAATACAAATCAAGTTGAGTACACAGATTTTCAGAGAATTAGACCACAATCATTTAGAGGTATGCCACTTTGAAATCGGATGTCTGTAAGAAAAGCCATTTTTCGATTATTTGGAAAGGGGTAACATCATTAAAATGACTAAAAATCGACCCCAAAATACAAAACAAATTGTGTACACAGATTTTTAGAGAATTAAACCACAATCATTTAGAGGTATGCCACTTTGAAATCGGATGTCTGTAAGAAAAGTTATGGGCTTAGAAGTGCAGGTTTTAGGCAACTTTTCTGTAAAGCCATTTTTCGATTATTTGGAAAGGGGTAACATCATTAAAATGACGGAAAATCGACCCCAAAATACAAATCAAGTGAAGTACGCATATTTTTAGAGAATTAAACCACAATCATTTAGAGGTATGCCACTTTGAAATCGGATGTCTGTAAGAAAAGTTATGGGCTTAGAAGTGCAGGTTTTGGACCACTTTTCTGCAAAGCCGTTTTTCGAAAATTTGGAAAGGGGTAACATCATTAAAATGACGGAAAATCGACCCCAAAATACAAATCAAGTTGAGTACACAGATTTTCAGAGAATTAGACCACAATCATTTAGAGGTATGCCACTTTGCAATCGGATGTCTGTAAGAAAAGTTATGAGCTTGGAAGTGCAGGTTTTGGGCCACTTTTCTGCAAAGCCATTTTCCGAAAATATGGAAAGATCTAAATGATATAAATAACGAAATGTATAAATACATAAATGTATAAGCCTACAAAACAGAATAAGTTTTCGCTGAGTGTTAAACTAAATGAGATCCGGCTGTTGTCAAGGGAGTCTCTCGAGTCTGCCACATTTGTTAATTACTTTTTGGCCATAGACAGTTTTGTGCTGACCTCAGCGCAAACTTGCCGAGTGGGGCATGCCCCAACCCCGGAGCCCTATCTTGCAAATGAACAATTAAATAATGCCAAGGCCGAGAACAAACAGGTGAGGGAAGTAATCAGATAGGCGGCAGCCCGGCGAGGGCCGAGATGGATGTGGTTGCGAATGGGAATGGGATTGGGAATGGGAGTGTGGAGTGGAATGTGCCGTGAATCAGATCCGTTTCAGGCCATAAGTTACCCGAGGTGGCGCAGGACACTACTCAGCACCTCCATGCTCAGCATGCGTAATTATGGGCTCGTAATCAATCCCAGACTGGCGGGGATCGGGAATCAGGGGGCTGGATGGGCCGTTCGCAGCCCAACTGGCAACTGTTGAGCCCAGAAGTCGACCCACGAAAAGAAAGCAATAAGCGGCAATCGTAAATTCAAATCAAGTGCCTGAAATTGCTAGATAAAAGCAAAGTCTGGCCCCGCACACACATATGCCAGCAAGTAAATACAGGGTATACTCGGGTATACCTAGCTATACAAGTTAATTTGTAATACTATTTATTTTATTCGGATAATCTGTACCAAAGTGTCTTGAATTAATTTGTAGTTTAGTTGATCAATTGATTTTATTTTGTAGAATAAAGGCATATAATAAAGTATAAGCTATTAATACAAAATTATTCTAGTATTTTAAATTTTCTAAACATTGTATAAGGATACCTTAAACTATCTCTGCAGGAAAGCAAACATTTTTAGATTTTTACTAAGTTACTAATTTAAGGGAATGATTGCTATAAACTAGGACAACTGGCGGTCGATTCCTCTGCGCCCTTCACATTTATCCGTATCTCTGCATGGCTGGCAGTTAAGTTGCCAGCACATCGCACAATTTATAATGTTAATGCTGCTGCTCTGCTGTGCTCTTTGTTGCTAGCTGGAGCCTCCTCCTGCCCCTCGTCCCCCTCCTCCTCCTCCACCGTTTCCCGCCATAACACTTTTAGCACATAATAATAGTCCAGGCCATGCAATTACTGGAGGTCAGGGGGAAAGGGGCGAGCGGGGGGCAGGATAACGAGCAGGACTACGACGACGCTTAGGCGGGGGGACACTTAAAGTCGGCAAAGTGTAAAAAGGACTCGATCGATAGATGTTTGACCCCCAGCAAAGTTTGCTTTAACTCGGCCATTCGGGCTCAATCTGTTGCTGATGGGTTTAAGGGGCGTGGCTGGAGGAATAGTTCCAGCCGGCGAATCTCTGAATGGGAGCCTCCTCGAGGAGCCGTTTACTCGGATCCAGATACGGACCCGAACCCAGATGGTTTCACATTCATTAGCCTCCGTCGTTTCTCGCTACAGTGGCGGGCAATTTGATTACGGAGCGATTGCAATCAGGCGGCTAAACAAATCCCCAGTCGATATCGAGGAAAGAACTTGAAATGGAATCCTCGCTTAATGGTTGGCAAATTCAATTGCGATTCCAATTCCGTCATAATGAGCCTCGCAGGGAAATGAGATGTCGCTGCGATCTGCTCTCTACTTCGGCATCACTCATACGCCAGGGAGGCCCCAGATTGAGTCCTTTCGGGCCAATTACGTGGCCATTTGGAAAGTTTTGCTTAATCTCGGAAAGTTGCTGGATGGATGTTTGGCAAACACTTTAAATGATTCGCTCGACCTTTGTTGCCTGCATCCGGCCTTGGGCTGGTTATAAATGACCCAGCCCGGGAACACGGACAGCCCAGGTGATGGCCAAAGCTGAGGAGAGGTGTCGGCAGCGGGGAAGAGGGGAAGATGGCCAGATGGACAGGTGACAGGCTGCCAGGAGGTGGCTCCTCACAGCCTGCCCTCGACCCACACTCATTTAACTTATTGAGCGCACTCACATCTACATAAGCACTTACTCAGTTGCCCTTCAAGATACTTAAACGACACTTGAGATACTCTTAAGTTCAGGTGGAAAATTAAGCAATTATCAGTGGGCACACAAAATACCTCTTATGTATTCTAGTGCTGTATCCTCTGCTCATATTTCTTATGAGTTTAAATTTAAAAGTATATCATAACAGGAATGCCTTAGAAATCTTCATTGATTAATTATACAAGTAAGGGAAACTTCTAGAGATTTGTTTGGATATTCCTTTACTTACATAAATTGTTCCTAAAATATTTGTAATGGGTATTTTAATTATGCAGTGTTGCCACAGAAGTTCAGTTGTTTTGCTCGAGTTCTTGATTTATCCATCCTCTGTTTCCGCAGAGAATTGAAAGCTCTCGAGGTGAACGGGTTTCGACATTCTGGTTTCTAATTAGCAAATGGCCAGAGCTGCGAAAAATCCGTACAAAAGCATCCTTAAGGGATTTGAATAAATCAAAATGGGAATGGCAGGTAACTGAATGCCCAGGAAGTGTTTACATTTCTATTCAATATGTTTGAGCAAGATTTGCTTGGCCTGCTTACCCATCCAAGACTGTGGAAACTTTTTCTCCCTCCATCAATATTTACTTAGCCCGGAACTTTCTCCACTTTCTCCACTCTCCGACCGGTGGAAAGTTCAAGTTTCTGCTGCGCGTTTTGTGTGGCTCTGGGACAAAATGGAAAATAAATTTGATTTATGCCAGCAACTAAACCGAATCCATTGTCACCCCATCAGATTGCATTGACTTTTGTTGCATGTGCAGCTGCCGGATTCTGTGGGTGGAAACTGGTGGAGAAAAGTAGAGGGATAACGATTTGCAAATTTGTTGTATGCAGGCTTCCTTTGTGCCATGTTTTTGCCCATCCTCTTTTTTTGGGTTTTCATCAGCAAACATTTGAATTTCC